CATTCACTTTACATACAACTAATCTTTACAATAAATTATCAATGTATATTATAAAAACAATGTAACAATCACACTCATTAATACAAATGTAATGTACTGTGCGAGGAATCGAACTCGTGACCATCGGAAGTAAAAATTTCATACTCCTCCGTCCGCGCAATGTTCGTAAAAAAAATAAGTTTTTGCTTCACGTATTTATATATATTTAGATCCACTTAATTCCATTATTGTAATCTAATTAAACAATACACATTTGTACATTCATTGTTAACAAAACACGAAATCAATTACATACCTCAGTCACATCACTAGGTCAGGGTTGCCAACCTTAAAACAAAATGTACAAAGTTTTTTTAATAACTCAGGACAATTCACACAACGCCATCTAGTCCCAAGGTAAGCAGAACTTGGGTAGGGGTACTTGACACTGGTAGAAAAACAGTAGAATGGCACTGTGTGAATTATATATTTTTTTGTAAATATGTATACACATAGTATGCATAGAAAACGTTCAGATCAATAAAACAGTCAGTCATGAATACAAATGTTTTATTGTACCTGTACCCACCACTCCACAATTCCTTTCAGTCACTCAAAGGTTGACTGGGAGAAATCCCTCTTTCGGGAAAAGTCCGCCATTGTACCATTTATTTTTTTTAAGACATGTGTATCCTTGTGTTAATAATCTGTACAATAAAAAATTAAGAGAAGAAACAAACAAAACAAATGTTTATATAGTGCTAGGAATTGAACCTGCGACCATTAGATATAAAGTATGCTAAACCGCTAGACCACCAAGGGCGTGAAAAATCAGATATAATCACGTTTTGACTCTCTAACCTCGTATATCATAGCATCTTGAAAAAATCAAAATCTCGTACAATATTTTACAAGGATAAATATATACTAATAGCGAAAAAATTTGGCAAATATATAAGAATATGCAACAGAAGTACCTCGAAACAATAAGTAATATAAGTAAGTAAACTACTTACTAAAAGTGTAATATTTATTTATATATTATATTTGTCCATCATATGGCAACCCTGATGTCGGATGACATAACAAAATGGCGCCACAATTACACTCGATGTGTTCACAATAAATAAAACCATTATTTTAATATGGATATAATAAAATTGTCCCGGACACCGGTCACAGGGGACGGGGTCTGTCGCCAAGTACTTTGGGGTTTTGGCGGAGGGAATCATAGGGATCGCATTAAACAAGAGGTTTTCATTCAAATATAGTTAATAGACAATATAGACTTGGCTAGTTTTCATATACGAAATATACTGTAGCCTTCGCAAGTCCTAAACATGTTACTTGTCGGTTCCTATTTTATTATTAGTGGTAACTAAATAATTGGTATATGAGAACTGGCCAAGTTAGACCTTAGGCTACAGTATATTATCCTAAGTTATAAGAAGAAATGATATTTTATAATGTCATAAATACATTTCAGGACATACCATTGAACTTGGCACCCATTTAGATCTCACCTCTTTTGTCGTAGAAGTCAACAATCAAGGCATATATCATAATATTAAACTCGGCTATCATTTCACATTTATGTTTTTGATGGGATTTATTTTACTGGCCCTTGTGTGTGTGTCTTTAACGCAAATAAAAATTCTATCTAATTACCTATAATACCTAATAGCAATAGTATGCCATTGGTATTTCCGTACCGATACGATATTGAAACCTTCAAGAGAAGAGCTTATTCCTTTTTAAAAGGCCGACAACGTACTTGAAAAAACGAAATAAAAATTCTGATCAATCTATCTATCTATATGAAAAAAATATCTGTCATCATCATCATCTGCTTCTTCCTTATCCCATTTATTTGTGGTCGTCGTAATATGTTTTTCGCTTCCATTCATCCCTGTTCGCAGTCATCGCGTTATTACCATATCATCTTTCACACAGTCCATCCATCTCTTTTTCGGCCTTCCTCTGCCCTTATAACCATCCACATTCATATGTAACATCTTTCTTAAAATATTATCTTCATTCCTAAATGTCCATCCATGATAGACGATTACCTCTCCGACACCGGTGCCACTTTCATACTTCCTCTAATGTATTCATTCTTTATCTTGTCCATTCTTGTCACACCACACATCTACCTCAACATTCTCATTTCAGTTGCATGCAGTCGTCTTTCATCCGTCGCCTTTACGGGCCAGCACTCTGATCCATACAAGACAACAGGCCGGATCATGGTCTTGTAAATTTTCCCCTTAAGCTTAAGGGGAACACTCGAGTCACACGCTGTAGCCGTATCTATATATGTCCTGAATAGTAGATATTTTGTTTCACTCTTGCATGAGATTGCAAATTAAGTAAATCTCGCCCCAAGTGCATTTGTAACAGATCTGTATAGTACTGGTTGCATTGACGGGCCATTTGTTTAATGCTACGGGAACCGAGCGATCGAATTTGAATTACGGGGTTAACACCTCGGTGGTCTAGTGATTTAGCACACCGCTTTACTTCCGATGGTCGCAGTTCGATTCCTCCCACGGTGCAAACATTTATATTAATGAGTACAATTGTTTTGTATAATTTGTGTTATGTATATTATGTATGTATTTACAAAATATGTGTCTATGTATTTGTATCAGTTGTCTAGTACCCATAACACAAGCTCTGCTTTGGCTTGGCTGCTTTGGCTCTAGCTTGGGACTAGATGGCGGTGTGTGAATTGTAAAGTGGTATTTTTGTTATTAACTGTAAGAAATTTTGTTTGATATATCTTTCTATAAACAATTAGTTTGATATAATATCTATTTTTAATACCTCTCAATGACAAGGTTGAGTCACCTCTAAATATTTTTGACAATCATTTTTATTTTTATTTTATTATGATTGAGTACAATTATAATGAAATAAAAATTAAAAAATACAACACAAAGTTTGTTTAATGAACTCTTATTTCTTAAAAACGATATTGATTTATATGGCAATACCTACAACGTTTGCTGGGTCAGGTAGTATCATATAAAAAAATACTTACAAGCCCTTCGCAAAACCAAAGTTAATTATTTTGTATATACAGAGAACATTGTAGAGGCGTTCCCGTTAATACATATGTGATTTATTGATAATGGTAGAAAGTTTTCATTATAAGTAATTATTATTCAAATATACTGGCAACACTTCAATTAAAAAAAATTAAGTACCTACATTTTCATTATCTTCTCCATTACCTTTACATGTAGCAAAGTCGTGTTTATGTTTAATTTCACATAAATATAGCTGTAGAAATTTTGATGAAATTTACGCTTCATATGTTGTTAACACGTTAAAGACCGCATGTCCGGTGGGTCAATCCGCAACGAAAGTAAATTTACAAATTGGGACCTGGTGATGACCCGTGGGCACTTTAATTGAAATAAATCTAGGGGTTAAATATTGTTGACCTCAAATTATTGAGCCCTGAAAACATATTTAAAAAATAAAGAAAGAAAGAATAAAAAAATATTATTTTTATTTTATTTGGTACACTGAAAATAATTTTTAAATTTTAGTTTACTTTTTTATATCAATGATTACAGTGCCAAATAGGTCTCCGCTCACCATATGTCATGACGGGGTGCCACGACGCTGTTTTTTGGGGATACCTTCATATATAATAAATATAATAAAATAATAATAATAATACACATACATACATAAACCCAGGCGGATAACACAGAGTAAACATATATAAATAAACATCAAACATAACTACACACTGAAACATAAAATAAACAAGTTCTGGTGACACTAGTAGGCTGACACCTTGCATTACCCCGCTTTTGGAGTGCAGACACATCACGACACAGTTTTCTGAGTGATTTTTTTAAATTGATTTTTAAAAATCTGCACAGTAACAGTAACAGTACAATATACGTAATTAACAATAAAAAAAATACCGGTCCCTATGTGAGAAATCAGATTTGTGAGAGATCATGATTCGGCCTGCTATCTTATATGGATCACAATGCTGGCACGTAAAGGCGACGGATGTAAGACGACTGCATGCAACAGAAATGAGAATGTTGAGGTGGATGTGTGGTGTGACAAGAATGGATAAGATAAAGAATTAATACATTAGAGGAAGTATGAAAGTGGCGCCGGTGTCGGCGAGGTTGAAGAGTCGTCTATCGTGGTATGGACATGTAATGAAGATAATATTTTAAGAAAGGTGTTACATATGAATGTGGATGGTTATAAGGGCAGAGAAAAAGAAGTGGATGGACTGTGGAAAGCCGAAAAAGAGATGGATGGACTGTGTGAAAGATAATATGGTAAGAAAGGGGGGAGTAAATAACGTGATAACTGCGAACAGGGATTCATCCCTGTTCTCTTCCTTCAGGAAGAGAAACTATTACGCCGACCATAAATAAATGAGATAAGGAAGAAGCAGATGAAGATGATGTTGTTAAATATGGGTTAAGAAAATTAAGTTGTTAGGTATATTACTAGGGGCTGTATTTATATTCAGTTTGTTGTATATATAGAAATTATATTATAATAAAAGTAGATTATAGTCATATAAAGGTATAATCAATAGAATAAAAAAAATTAAGAGTTAGGAACACAAGAAAATTAGTATGTCTACAGAAGAAGCCATTTTTGTAGTCTCTTTATTTTCCCGCGCAAACGTAATGCGCCACAGATGCACAATATTGCACGCGCAGCCGCAGTAGGATCACGAGCGCGTCATAGCTGTAGGCGATATTAATACTAGTATTAACATGGGTAAATAACCTGCAAAAGGGCAATAATCAATTTTGTACTATTTTCAGTTTGAAAAAGAGCATAAACCAAGGATACCAATAATCTATTTTGAAATTTTTTTTTTCAATACACCTACATAAAAAATAATATGTTTTTTTCTTATCGACTGACCTGACCTCGACCTGATGGTAAATGGTAATTTGTCATATTAATATTCAGTAATAAGTTATTTGGTAATGTAAGTAATTATATTCTTTTCATTGTTTCAGACGTGGTTTAAAACTTCGTCAGTTGACCGATGGCCGCCATCTTGTCCAAGTGATATACGCGCCAAATGGCGATATTCAGGACTGCGAACACATCACACAGGGCAGAACAACGCGGAATTTCCTGAAAACACTAAGAAATGAATTAAAATTAGCATTAGACGAAGAAAATTATAGAATTTTACAAAAAGATTCCATGAGTTTTGATAATGAAAAATTTTACCGCCATTTTCATAACATGACAGTCCGAATTTTAAAAAATGGTGAGGAAATGCCGTCGAATATCGCCAGTTGGCTGGATTACGACAGATTAAAAATGGAATGCTTTAAACGGCACCAAGAAATGACTTACATGATGGAAAACAGGAACAAAGTCTCGGAAAACTCTTTGGCCAGGTAAAGATGGTGTAATTTTTGTTTTTTTTTTTTAATTTTTTTGGAGACAGTAATTATATATTTTTATATCAAAATGTTCTTATAAAGTTGTAAAAAAAGTTTATCATTCTATATATAAGACATTTTGAGTCGTTTATCGCTTTGTATTTAGTTTTGACAAAATAGTTTTTTTTTTATTTCCAATTTTTTTTTGCTTAATTTAATTATATATTTTTTAATAATCAAAACATTTTTTTATATAAATCTTAAATATGGAGTTAATATTAACTATCTTTTTCTTTTTTTTAATTCAAAGCGATGAATAATATAATTGCATGCTTATATTTTCTGTTTCCGTCTATTTTCCAGTGTTTCTTTTTCCTGGTTCACTTGCGTTCACCGTCACGCTGGAATGACCTCTTTTCTACGAATCCACAAATTTATTTATATATATATTATTGTACTATTTTATGCACTTAGTACGTACCTATTATAAACATATAAAATAATATTTTATACACAATAATTTATTTTATCAAATATCACAATTCAAAGCAAAGAAAACCGTCATATATATCACAAGTTAAAAAAAATCATAAATCGATTTTAAAAGTATAAACCATTATTAAATAATATTAAAATATATGTATCATTTATTTAAAAAATTTAATAAACGATATGGTATCAATGTGAAAACCTGTAAGTGGCCTCTCTAATTTATTTATATTTATTACTAGGTTTTCCGAATAAGATAAATGTAAATCGAAATACGAATATATTTTCAATATATAAAAATTAATACATATATTTGTAACGCGTAATCTATGGCCTATCTAATTGCAGTCCCTCACCATACGTACCAACAGAATCTCATACTCCCATGTGCGTACAATATGCTTAATTATAACCTTATAATTTATTTTCTAATAAAAATATAAGTTTACTAATTAAATTAAAACAAAAGTTGGTTTATAGACGTAGATTCGAAATTCAAAACTACAACAATATTTTTCTTTTAACCATAAATTAATTAAATGGCTACTATATAATTCAAGTATGATAATAAAACTCAGACCCTGTCACTTGGAGCAAATTATTTTTGTTTAAACTGTGAAAAGACTTAATAAAATAAAATGACGATTTTTTTTTAATAATATAAAAATAATGTGACTAATTGCCTATAAATAGTCACATAGACTATTTATAGGAAATTAGTCACATATTTTTTTTTAAAATGTGGTTTTTATGACTAAAATAATGGTTGCAGTGTTGATTCGATATTCGAAAACTGTAACAATATTTTTCTTTTAACCATAAATTAAGAATATTTAAAAGTAAATTAAAAACGTACGTAAAATTGTAAAAGTAAATTCTATAATTTAAATATAATAATAAAATTTAAACCCCGTCACTTGCAACAAAATATTTTTTGTATGAAACTGTGAAAATTAGTGATTCAATTTATGTTAAATTAAATAATAAGGGATTCTTATTAGAACGTAATGTTTATTTCCTCAGTGGTACAAGTAGGCTGAGACACTCACGACATGCAGCTATCAAGCTATATTTTTTTTAGTCATCTATTATAAAATATTTATAAAGCCAATATTAGACAAATTATTTGTATGTCTTCTCATCATACACATAACGGGAAATAAGATTAAACTTAAATACGAGGATCGTAAATAAATATTTCGAACAAGTATATATTCAGTATACTTTTTTAAATAAGTATAAATATAATTTAGATATAAAAAGATAATACTATAGTTAGTAAAACTCTAAAACTGAACTATTTTCACCAAAAAACAAAGTGGTGGTTTAAAAATAAATTTAGGTAATAAACTTTTCATACCTATTTCATGCCCCGGTGGTATAGTTTAGCATACCATGTTACTTCGGTTCGATTCCTCACACGAGTGTTTGTATTGATCTGGGTGTTTTCTATGTATATCATTTTTGTGATTACAAGATAAATTGTTATTTATTTATTTATTTGCTTTGAATAGGTTCCATTGTTCTTACAAATTACTTTTATCAGTTATGTTAAATACATAATTGTACATTAATTATTTTTAAAAGTGCAATAATGAATAAATAAAAATTAAACTATATATTTATATTAGTTGTCTAGAATCCATAACACAAGCTCTGCTTAACATGGGACTAGATGGCGCTGTGTGGATTGTTATTATTGTTATGACCGAGTTTCATTTTGTTTGTATGAAAGTTGTAAATATTATTCTTAATTGTTAAACCTCTCTGGCTTTCTAAGAGAAGTTCAGTGTCATGAGCACTGACTTTCGGCTTTGTATCTCTGGCTGACTGCCCGTTGATTGTAACAACGATAACAAACTAAATTAATGAAAGAGACCCTGCTGGTTATCCTGCCACTTCTTTACATAGTATAAAATGAAGTCGATTCCGACTACCGCTGGCTGTTCGCTTACATCTTATAAACTACGCAACGGATTTTAATGTAGTTATTAGTAATAGTTACGCTATTTTAAGTAACGCCTGTATAAAAATAACTCTAATAATAAAATTAATTATGTCTATATATATATATGTTAATTATGACGTAACTAGTTGACTACTCCATCTCTGATTGTAGTCGTGAAGCAGAAACACGTGCTTTCTTGTCTCCGAAATATATAGAGTAATGCTGTGAATTGTTAAATTTAACTATGAATGAAATCAATGAAAGAATGAATGAATGAATGAAACATTATTGTTCCTATCACAGAGAAAAAGAAATAATTCAATAAACTAATATGAATACAAATATTAAAAAGAATAGTTACAATAACATACAGAAGTCACAATGGGCGGCCTTATCCCAAAATAGCGATTGCTTGCACAATTAAACTAGATGCGGTTTCTATGTTGATTCGCATGCCTCCTCCTTGTTAATGCGTATATATTTAAAGAATAGTTATTTAAAAGAGCAATACATAAGTTTTTTACTCGATCGTCTTGTGGTGAGTCTGCGTTCCGAATTATTGATAGATAATTTCTATCAAAATAAAATTAATGTACATACACAAAATTCTAATTTCATAATAATCATATATTAAAAATTAACTATTATAAAATTATTTTACACATACAAAATTGGAATGTAATAATAATTATTTAGAAAACTACAATTTTCCCTCCAATAAGCCTGGCCTCACATTGCCGGTAAGTCGGACGATCCGTGCCGACGACTCCGTTCAATTGGCGCATTGGTTGCAACACACCGCCTTCATTTGGGCGATACATAAACTACATTACACGTTAATTGTGAGGGAGTCAATGGAGAAAGTGTGATATTTTTTGTCGATAATAATGGAATGGTGCCTATGTTTTACGCTGGCGGGGCACCAGTGGAAGATGATAAGATGAACATGGGGTCACGTTGGTTAACGCATCGTGACAAAATCACAGCAAATTCACGACGGTTACCAGAGGGTACCGCGTGAAGGTCAACCTGATAGGGTACATTGCTAGCAATGTCAGTCAGTCCTCATTACTAACAATCACCTTCCCCCCAAAATGTGACATTGCATAACAAAAATTTGTAGGAGTCAAAATTAGTGCTGAAAACTTAAAATATAGCGCCCTCTTACACTCCTGGGAGATATCTTAAAGTTTGTGAAACTAAATTAAACATATTATCTAATAGAAAATTAGTATAAAACACGAGTCGTTTTTGTAGTTTTATTTTATTTGTGTATAGTTTAAATGAAAAAAACTAGGTATGCAGGAAAATATATTCAGAAAGACTATTGACATCAGTGTAGTGATGTATCAAAACAAGAATGTACAATAAAAGGAACTATAAATTTAAATACAAATTTAGAATATAAAATACATTTTTGATTAGCCAGTTACAACAGTTGTTAATATTTAAAAAAAATGTATGTTTTAATTTATAGATGACATCTTAAGAAATGCGCCAATCGATATCGTCGGCACGGTTCGGACTAAACCTAACAATAATAATTACCCACCTTTCTATATCAATATTATCTATAATATAATTTTGATTATTAATCTATAAAAATAATATATTATTAATATATTTTATAAGGAAACACTATATTTTTCATCATCATTAAACTCATCGTCATACTTACCTACTGAAACTTGTTAATCTATGTCACAGTATAAACACTGCAGTAGTTCAACTCCATTCTACATTACATCAATTAATTCTACTACTTATACTAATAACTTTAATATAAATATATATATGAAATAAACCATAATTATTAACTTAACAGTAATAAAAGATAATTTACTTTAAAATGTTTTATTTAATAATACTCGAAAAAAAATACCATATTGAGTGGAGCGTTCAGCGATTTTAGAGATCAGATTTGCACTCTTTGTAACGATACTCCTCCGAAACGGCTTGAACGATCGAGACCAAAGTTTCATCGAAATCATCAGACCTCCATCGTTTACCACTCAAAAAAATCCGATCGGTCATGTCCTTGAGAAATGGTCGGTGATAAAGAGTGCCATAGACTTAACATGGCGGAAAAAATTCACGCGCTAATGAAAATAATTCAGTTATTAAGATCGAGTTTTTCAGAACATACGCGCTACGCTCAACATGACCTGGTGTGTAAACAACACACCGATAAGAAACCCAGTTTATTTATGGAATAACTCTTTGCACGAATCAATTTTACTAAGTATATAAATCACAGAGTAATAAGAACAGTAACGTATGTACATTCAGATAAAAAAAGATAACAATTATGTATTTGCCAATTTTATAACTATATCCTTTGTTGTTTTAATCATTACATGTAGTAATGATTAAAACAACAAAGGATATAGAATATATATATATTTATATTCAGATATAGATATATTTCAGATTTTTAAAAAGGTTTTTAAATTATAATGATTTACTACATTTTGAAAAAAGCATTTTTTTCTAGTAACTCTATTTTTACTATGCATAGACTTTTTAAAAAATCGTCTGCTCTGGGCCCCTATATCACCTATTTCAGCCTACTTTGTTAATTATATTTAGGTTTAAATAATAAAAGACAAGGCATTATTTTTAACATTATACTATTATATTTTAAAGGTATTTTATCGAAGCCTTATAAAGTCTTAATAAATTCATTGAGTTATGAAATGTACTTCCGCAAAGGAAGTACATTTCATAACTCAATGAATTTATTATTTTGTTTAATTCCGCTATCAATAGCATGTGTGAGAATACAAATATTTAGTGCTAAAACTTGACCACCTACTGGGTACTGGAAGTTACGACCTTGGACTATTGATGATCAAATTCCGACAGTTATTGAGTCTACACCCATATCGCGACACTTGTTTCCCCTCTGAACGAGGCATCATCAGGCATGGAATAGAGTTCAGATATAGCTTGGGAGCCTAGTGTTGATTGTTCGGCGACCAAACTGCGACTCGCATTTTGATCGCCGTCGCTGTGATCAAGTTTCCGCACTGAATATTTGTGATCTCACACATGCTATTGATAGCGGAATTAAACAATTCATTGAGTAGTTTTTAAAATATCTATGATATCTTTACATAGCATAAAACAAAATCGCTTCCGCTGTCTGTTCGTTTAAATCTTTTAAAGTACGCAACGAATTTTAATGCCGTTTTTAGTAATAGATAGAGTGATTCAAGAGGAAAATTTATATATATGTGTATAATATAATTTCTCTTTTTATTTTATTTTGTGTAATGTACAATTGATATGGAATTTTTTTATGAAATCCAACTAAAATATCTTCATTCGTCTGTTATGTCTAATCTACTCTACTACCTGATATGTAATAGTTATTAAACATCTGGCAATTGTGTTGTGGACTCTCGTGATATAGGTAAACCTAATACGGGACCAATGTATAATTATAGTATTCTAATACTTAACTTATTTACATAACTTAATTGTATAACAAAGAACGTAAAATTAAAAACCCTAAAAATATAATATATGACTAAAATATATTATTAAAAGGCGTTCCTTTAGACAAGGTTCCGAAGATACTGGCAGCGTTCCCTCTTTGAATGGCTAGACTAATTCTTTGTCCGAGGTAGCTGCCAGCTCTTCGGTCTTCTGTGATGTCGACTAACCTTTTTGTTATTTCCGTTATTATAGTATTAGTAATATTTGTATTAAAAAAAATAAACATGAACGAAACTAGTTATATATATAAATGTTATATTAAAAAACTTGCAAATAAATCTTTTTGATAGTATATATATCTTATTATAATTTTTTATACACTTAAGTCTATTTTTATTTATACATCATCATTTCATCAGTAATCCGGTACGCGATGCACAAAATCAGTTCACCTTCTCACTCGCGCATCAGTTGGACTACTGCATCATTCTGACTCTGTCTACTTCCACAGCTTATAAAACCAATACTTGCCTAAGATTTCCTCATTCCAATTCTAACTATAACAGGTCCCGGCGTTCCATCAGAGAGAATTTCATATTGCCCGGGACAAAATGGTGCGGAGCTGGGCAACTAGCGACGAGGTACAATGAACTGGGCTCCGACAGTAAGGAAGACAGATGCTGTAGGGCCCACGACAATTGCCGGGTTAATATTGGAGCGTTTAAGCGAAGATTTGGGTATTTCAACTATAGACCCTTCACAGTCTCGCATTGCCGGTGCGATAGGAGGTTAGTGAGCTTTTGAAGGGCACTGAGTTGGGCTTTTACACGTTACCCCCTGGAATGCAACTAGATTAGACACATAAAGATGTACCATACCTTTGTTTTGTAATATTATAATGGTTCACGTATTAGGGCTGAAGGCAAAATGGTTAGTTAGTTAAAATGTGTATAATAATTCATATAGATTTTCATGTACATATATTCTTTAAAATTCCAATTATATATGGAATACTAAAACAAATAATTCAAATAAAAATAAAAAAGATCTACATATGTGGAATATTGAACAAAAACCCCAATATTTCCGTATATACAACATTCTAATTACATCAAAGAAAAATAAATAGATATTATTGTAAAATAAACATCAAAACATCAACAACACATTTGGCTGTGTGACTTATATCTGTTGCCTTTGCCCAGTTGAGATAAAGAATTAAAAAAAAAATCTCATGTGACAACAAAATATTCTACTAAATAAATTTTTGACGTCACAGAAGGTTTATTACCTATATATGTATTGGACAATTTATACAAAATGTATATTGAGCTACTTCTCATTATTTACACTATGGCTCTTTTGTAGTCACTATATAAGGAATCTATAAGTCAGTATCGTATTTTGTTCTTTTCAAAAACCAGTCACGATTTCCTACACAGATGTTTCAATTCATCGACTACATTCGAATTTCGAAACGGGAGTTAACGGCACGTGGTCACGATGTACATAATTCCTTAGCCTTGCATTAATTCCAGAAAAAAAAACAGAGTAAAAGTATGAATTGTAGTATAATTTACGATTAAAGGAAATTAATACAATCTCACGTCACTTACAATAAAATATTTTTATATGAAACTGTGATGGAGAGGTTCTATTACTGCATATTTAACAGCTATTTCTTATATATTTACATGAATCTTATAAAATTTATAGGCAAAAAGTCCTTGCTTTAAATAAGACATTTTAATAACAAAATAAACTGCTAGCTTATTATTTTTAAAAACATTATCGCTTGTTACATATATTGTCAATTTTTGATTAATTCTCGTAAGGGCAGAGTAATTCTTGTTCTTAACGTTGTATTAATTACTCTGTGAATATATTATTGTGAAACATTTAAATTCTAATATCACAATTAAATATTAGAATATTTTTCTTTAAAAATATATACCAAAATATACTTATTTAATATGTTACAATCCATACTTTTTGTTTAATTAACTACTCTGTATATTTTTCCATTATACATTATCGTGTGTTTAATCTACGACCATGAACTGATTGTCTTAGAACAATATTCCATATTTAAATTTCCCTCCAATTTTTAAAATTTATTATTCTACTTTAATTAGGTAAAGGAACAAATTATAAACGAATGAAAATAATAATTTGACAACTTGATACAAAAAATGTCCATTGATCCATTGTTTTTGATTAGTCACTAAATAGTCTATGGCATACTAGTACTGTATATGCTTTTCGGTTTTGGTTAATTTGTTGTTCGGTTTTGGTGATGGTGGTTTGGTTTATATTTGTTTTGATTTTGTCCGCTTCGTGATTTTATGGTTTTTTTTTTCAGCGACCACCTATATGAAATAGTAAAATATGTAAATATTTACTATTTCTATAAGAAGCAATTAAAATTTAAAAATGAAATTCATTTACCACAATTTAATATTTAATAAATAGCCTAGTCGTTTGTTATCCCGACTTACACCCAATACATAGTGAGTTCAAATCTGGCGTCACAAAAAGCTTTATTTTAATTTATATTTCTGACTTGCTCTCTGGTGAAGGAAACACCGTTAACAAAACCAAAAATTTTAACGTTGGATTCAACCATACCATATTCATACCGAACGAAATGTGGGCTTGTCAAGTGTTGCGTTCACCACAACATCGACAGTTGACAATACTAATACCGATACTACAGCGAAAGTACCAGGAGAACATGACTCGCAAGTAGGCTAGAGACTACCGCCGTGTATTGGAATGATGCATTTATTTCATTCACATATACCGAGCGAAATGTGGACATGTCAAATGTTGCGTTCACAACATCGACAGTTGACAATGATTCTAACTACCCCATCAAAGATAACAGTCGTAAAGTTATCATACTAATACCGATACTACAGCGAAAGTACCAGGAGAACATGACTCGCAAGTAGGCTAGAGACTACCGCTGTCTATTGGAGTAATGAGTTTTTTATTTTATTCACATATACCGAGCGAAATGTGGACATGTCAAGTGTTGCGTACACCACAACATCAACAGTTAAAATAGAAATAGAAATAATCGTTATTCAAATAAAGCACTTCTGAATAGTCACTTTTTTTTTATTCTACCACTCATTCGGAATGCAGACTCACAAGAAGATAGAGCAAGACACTTGTGTGATGCTGTTTTAACAGTGACAATGATTCTGACTACTTCAAATAGGGTAAAAGTCATGACGGTATGTGTTTTCTGTTAAACTTCAATAATTAGGAGATTTAGCCACGTTTAAAAAGGATGAGAAACTTTTTTCAGTTTTTTTTATTGGGCTGTTTGGGGTATTTTCAGGGTTGGACCTGTAACACAATGGGATAAAAGTCATGACGGTATGTGTTTTCTGTTAAACCTCAATAATTAAGATATTTAGCCACGTATAAAAAAATAAGAGACTTATTCAGTTTTTTTTTATTGGGCTATCGTCAGGCTTGGACCTGTAACACTGCGACCTACATAGATCTATTGTGCTCGCCATTTTTCAGAGTTCGTTACCTAGGGTCTAGATAACGAACTCTGAAAAATGGGGACAAAGAAAGGGACAAGAATTGAAGGATATTCTTAGGAGCGATGGTTTTTATCTCCTCAGGATAGAGTATACTTTCCAAAGGATATATTTTGTTTATACATGAGTGGGTTTCAACCTCATAGTATGTGTAGTAGCGTTTCCTCTTCAGTTTAGCAAAATCTGCAGATTTTTGTTGTGCCTAGGTTAGTCCATGACTAAGAAGATGTGTGTACTAAACAATTGATCGAAATACATAATATCTTATAATTATTATCATAATTAATATCTACATATTTTCTAACGATTATATAAAAGAAATTACATAAAAATCGGTTAAGCCGTTTAGGAGAAGTATAACTACTAACAATGAGACATGAGAATTTCACAGCGCCATCTAGTATCAAGCTAAGCAAAGCTTGTGTTATAGGTACTAGACAACGGACATAAATACATATTTTTTTTTGTAAATACATGCATATTATTGGTAGCAAAATACCTAGACCGAAACAAACAATCATACTAAAGAATACAAATGTATGTACCACGAGAGGAATCGACCCTGCGACCATCGGCAGTAAGGCGGTGTGCATAACCACTAGACGACTGGGGCCGCCGATCATCCTTCCCAAATATTCGAATTTTCTCCACTAGTAATTGTACACTTTATAAAGACTTCAACGCGCTTGTCCTACAATATATATATTTTTTTTATTTAATATGTTTTACGATACATTCTGACCAGTGACACCAAATTGAGGATTTCCTTCTAAATTTGGGAGATATTAGGGCTGTGGATATAAATTTGGGGGAATAAAAGTGAGCAACGTATAGGATAAAACTATCCTGTAAGCATAAAAAGCAAAAATTCACTCACATTAAACAAATATTTGTATTTTTTTTAATAAAAAGTATTCTCATTCTAATACCTCCAAGTACATGTGTACAAAATTTCATGATAATCGGTTCAGTAGTTTTTGCGTGAAAACGTAACAAACATCCTTTCATATTTATAATATTAGTAACGATTGCCAATTGCTCAGCAAATTATTAATTGAAATATTCAAGAAAAGAGCTTATTCCTTCTTAAAAGGTCGGCAAAGCACTTGCAATTCTCTTGAGTGCTATCTGCAGTCGCTATCGTCGCTAAAAAAATGGTGACATACCGACAGAAGAGCCACCTACTGAAATATACCACCTAGCAACCTATTGAAATTTACACATAAAATTTTATCTAAATCGGTTCAGCCACACATACAGAACAATTATATATATATTAAGATAATAATTTGTATCAACTCAAAGATAACCAATTTTGGAATATCGACTTTTAAATTACGCACAATTAGAGTTGAATTTTCTAAATATATATTATTTTAACGTACCGCTCTGTTTGTCTATGATACCGTAGCTTCTAAACTGATAGAACGATTATGGTGTAGTATTTTTTAAAAAGCTACTAAGAAGACTACAATTTATAAGATATTTTTTTATTCCAGGATAATTATTATAATTATTATTTAATTTAGACGCTAAATTTTCTGAACAAAAATACCTGCAATATTTAGTAAACAAAATGTCTGCAAAATAGTATAGCGTGTACTTAAACCTAAATATAAATTACTATATTCAATTATCTTGCATAACTTGTATACTCCACACGGCACTATAAACTCCCGTGATCTATGGTCAGCAATCTATGGTTCGTTGACTGGCAGCGTCTACGTTATAGCTTACTTTATGACAGAGAAAACCATTTTACTGCATTCTTTATGATGAAATTGATAGGATCATAAACAGTTAAGCAGCTTTGATCAAGCATGATGTCTTCGCTTGAAGACCCAAGCTTCATAGATCAAGAATGAAAATCTAGAATGACTAAATCTTGTCACCGTGAGATAACCTATTGTGACAAATAAATAAATAACCCTGGACAATTAACACAGCGCCATCTATTCCCACGGTATGCAGAGCTTGTGTTATGGGTACTAGATGACTGATAGAAATACTTAGTAATAATATATATTGATTGTATTTGATATATATATATATTGTCCCGTAGTGGGCACAATGGAATATGTTAATAACAAACTCTGATGCTCAGTTTAACAACACTTTCAATTTCTCCTTCTGATTTTACAAAGATTAAATTTGGAATAGCAATTGCAGTATAAGAATTTAAGCACTAAGAAAAAGTACATAAGTCAACGTAATTAGCAAAAACCACTACTAAAACATACATATACATATACAGAACTTCTACAAGACAAATCCACGTTTTTGCTGCCGCTTATGTCAACGAACTATTTGTATCCCAAACACTCGTTTTTACGATGATTATTAGAAACATATAAATATCGTTGGTGGTCCCTATAAAATGTATTACGTAAGCAAATATAAAATACATTATCAGAGACTGTATGTAACAAATCATACAATTTTATAATATTACTAGCTTTTAGCCGCGGCTTCGCTCACATTGAATCCATTAAATAACTTCATTACTGGTTACAAGATGACGCTGATTTATAATTTCATTACTGACTGCTAGCTGGCGCTGAAGTAGCGAAATGTTGGTATTTTATATTTTGTGATTTTTTTTTAATAAAAATTATCATGATGATCAGTTCAGTAGTTTTTGCGTGAAAGCATAACAAACGTCCCTACTTTCATTTATAATATTAGTAAGGATTACTAGCTGACCCGACAAACGTTGTTTTGCCATATCAAATCAAAATATCTATATTCATGTAGGTCTATTACAGACTCTTATGATATGTCAAATCTACCGGTCAGTTCGGAGTGCTTTCGAGCTAAGAAGACCTGACAAGAAACTCGGTTCTTATTCTTTTCAAATGAGCTTGTACATGTTTACAATAACACAGATTCATCTTTACATTCAATTGGGGAGAATAGAGCAATAGCATATGTTATTGCAATTTTGTCCAAAATGATATAGTGAAATCAGTGATCGTAACCAGAATTTAAATTAATATCGCTATTTTAAAGTAGGTTTTGATTGTAGAAGCGTGAAAATTTTCAGTGTATGTATGTTTAATGCCGATACATATACATACATATATAAAAAATGAAATATAATAAATATATAAATTTCATCAAAATGATTTAATTAAAACAAAACACTTAAGCCATCGTAATATGTTAAAAACTCTTAAATACCACTCATAGGTAACAAAATGGAGTTACACAATTTAATAACAAAAATATTATTAAATATAATTAGTTATTATAACAAAAAACAGATTGTGAACCGACTATGATAAATCTTTTAAAATATAACCTATATGATCCACCCACGGCAAATAGTGATTTAATTATATATGCCTACGTATATTACGTATATATAACAAAAAAATGATTTAATTGCTATTTTAAATAAAGTGCATAATACTAAATAATTAATTAATTAATATGATTCAATTAACCTTAATAATGTATAAACATCCACTCAAAAGTAAAAAATAAATATATATATAATTTAATAGGTAACCAAGAACTCGATTTATTTAAAAATAAAAAGAAAATACGAATTATTTTTTATGAATATAATATCTAGGTACTTAAAAGTATAAAAGAAAAAGTAAATAAGAAAACGGACAGTATTAAAAAGAGGTTATGACAGCTGACGTCAATGTTGCACAGATTAATAATTTGAAAAAATTAACAGAACAAAGCGTGACGCCTCTGAGTTACTGCGAGTGCCGGGAACGAAGTGGTGTGGTAAGGGATTCTCGGCGACACGGTATTCCCAACTCGGCGGATACTCTAGAACGGATAGATGCTGTCGCATCCACGACTTGAGATGCCCATTCTGGATTGGGGCCATGGAGAAGAAGTACGGACTTTATAATTGGCGCGTAAACACACTTATGCACTGCCGGTGCGATGAAAGGTTTGTGATATGGCTGTATGGATTATTGTCGTTGCTTATGCCTGTGGTATGATAGTTTTTGGAAAAAAAATATTGCATGTAATTCGGTGTCAAATTCTAGTGAATAGATAAAGATTTAAAAAAGACTAAAATAATTTATTTCCTAAGTCATTTAATTTAATAATATAAATAAATTTGATAATCATTTTTTAAACTAAAATCATAATCACTAATTTTGGAATATTTGCATGTAATTCGGTGTAAAATTCTAGCTAATAAATAATAACGCTAAAGCCATATATGTTATTTTAATTGAATTATTAATAGTTGTTTATAATATTTCAATTGAGTTTTTACACATTAAAAAATTATTTCCATCTAAAAAATAATTAATTGGTCTTATTTAAATAATGATATGTATCATTTACAATTATAACAATATAATTAGTTAAATAGTGCATGCGTATACTTATACTCTATTATAATTATAATCTTACTAATGTTTTAAACGCAAACGATGTCACGGGCACAGCTAGTTTGTGCATATATAAAAATAAACTGTGACTAATTTAAGCAAACCTTTGATTAATAAAGTATGTGAGTATAGATGGATGGATGGATGGATGTTTGTTACTCTTTCACGTAAAAACTACTGAACAGATTTTGCAGAAACTTAAAAAATGGCGAATTTCAAATACAAGCGTTTATCCCCAAATTTTTCAAGATTTAAGCTTCTACTCATAGCTTTAAAATAATGACGACACTTGCACAGAACTTTTCGTCCCCCTTTCGTGTTAAACACCTTATAACCCTCTTTCGCATTATAGTATCCTATATCCTTACAGTCCTTACTTAGGATCTAGACTTTTTGTGTAACAATATTAATTTATACTGTTTTAATTTTGACGCGGTCATTATTTATAAGTATAATTAGTAAAAATCACGGAATCTTACCACGTTTTATATTTATTTACTGAGTTCCCGATATTTCGGCTGTAATTCTACTGCATATTTCGGCAGTTTACCCATGATAATGGCAGTTTTTACTAATTATACGTATAAATATTCATTTAAATCGTTTCAGTAGTTTTAACGTGAAAGCCCGACAGACAAACAGACAGAGTTACTTTCGCCTTTAGAATTTTACGTCCTCGGTAGTCAACATGTTTAGCACATCGCTTTACCTCCAAATACTAGATTCTGTTTTAAATGAATACTAATTATTTATGTATAACAATTAACAGTAAAATATACTATCATTATCGGTCGATATCGGTCGTTATTTGTAATCTGTTATTTTGTCACTCAAGTAACTATTTATTTATGTCAACTTTGCTATTTGGCAGTTTATATTCATACCAAATTCTTAAAACTATTAATCTGAAAGAATTTATTTTAAAGAGAATTTCTATTTATCAGTTTTCAATCACACAGAATTCTTAAAAAGATCATTCTGAAGGAATTTATTTCAAAGAGCAACACGCAAGTTTCTTGTCCATTCTTCTTGTATAGAGTCTGCATTCCGAATGAGTAGTAGAATAGAAAAAAATATAACTTTTCAAAAGTGCCTTTATTAACTTTATTGTGATGAAATGATGAATCGGCATTCCAAATTAGTGGTAGAATAAAAAAAATGTTACTATGTAAAACTGCTTATTTTAACTTTATTCGAGTAAACATTATTTCTATTTCAGAATTTACTTTTATTATGTTATTTATTAGTTAAAGTGATGATGATGATGTTATAAATTTAATACGAAGTTGTCCCCATATTATCAATGGGCCGTATTAATAGAGTCATTTCCTGACCTCACCCAAGGGCCCATTTTGGTTACAAAAAATAAATGGGTTATAAATGAAATAAAATAAATGAAAATAAAAGAGATACACCTCCCTGTCGACGATAGGCACCGGGTACATGAGACAGGGAATTGAATGGAGTCGCTATTTACATAAAAATAAAAAGATCGAAAAACAACAGTTTCGTATTTTTTTTATATATAATACAAAATATATTATTTATATATTTTGTATTATACCTATTTATTATTATTTACAATAATATTTCACGATAATTCACACAGAGTTATGTGGTGCTTAGCTAAGCAGAGCATTAGTTATGGGTACAAAATCACTGATCACTTATTACATAGAAAACACCCAGACCGATACAAACAATCAATCAAATCTCATCAAATCTCATCAATCTCACTCAAATGTTCATACCGTGAAAGAAATCTGGAAAAATGGATTTTTGATGGTTTTGAATTTAGGATTTTTTTATTTGATTGGAATGGAATTTTGGATGGTATGCTAAACCGCTACACTACCGAGGCCGTAAATCTACAAATAGATTTTAGTTTTCTGTCTAATAATATCTAAACTATTTTTTATGTAACTTAAATGTCAAACAAGCTGACGGATCACCTGATGATAAATGGTAACCCTTTAATGTAAATATGAACAGTACAACATCACGTTATCATGTGACGCCCGTGATACCGTGATACCACCCATGCGTTGCCATTCCAGAGAACTAAGATGTCTCTCTTATTGTGTAATTTCACTGAGTTGTTTTCGAATAAGAATTAACCTAAAAGCGAGCTAATAAACTGGAAATAATCACATGTAGTAATTTACTCGTAACGCGAATTGTTGGGTTTTTTCATTATCGCCTAAATTTTAAGGGTATTGTGGGTAATTATTTTTAGAAAGGCAAGAGGATCACTTGGCTACACTTCACAATAATATTTAAACAATTAATTTATCTGCGACTCCACACCACTCGTGTTCAGGATAATCACCGAAACTCGTATAGTATAACGCGGTCTCTAATTGGTGCTCATAAATTATGAACAGCGGCGGTACCGGCACTGTCTGTTTGTTTGTTACGGACGCATCTCGTAAACTAATAATGTGGGACAAAGTCAAATCTGATTATTATTACAATAAAATCTTAACGTCTTTATGTCTACCATTACATAACTTAAAATCTTTTTAACCGACCTCAAAATGAGGAGGTTCTTTATTTGATTTTATTTTATTATGTTATCTCAGAATTTTTTTTCTGGGTATACCGATAGTGTAAATATGTACCTCTTTCCGAGGTAGATTTTGTACTATATTATATTGTATTGTATTATATTATATTATATTGAAATTTGGTACACTGATAGTTACGGGGCTACTTTTAATGTCAAAAAAGGGACAAAAGGGAGAAATGAAGGATTGTATGGAAGCATCATCATTTTTAAATCTAGAAGTTGGAAACTTAGTTCTTTCTTCTTACAATAAAAAAATATTATATCTTTATTTGGTGAAAATCACTATTCCAGGCAGACGAAGTCGCGGGCACAGCTAATTAATGTGCGAGCTAGTATCGTACATTATTCCGCAACATTGACATTCGTTTTACATTTAATATTTCACCAAAAAAATCGCATTCGGTCATTTTACCATTAATCAGTTAAATTTTAATATATCTTTTTAATCAGTAGCTATTATTATCATATATCAGACTAACTTTTGCCCGCGGCTTCTGTCGCGTTAATTTATCCCCTTAGAGGTGGAATTTATCAAAATCCTTTCTTAGAGGATGCCTACGTCATAGTAGCTTTATGCATGCAAAGTATCAGCCCGATCTGTTTCAAATTGACAAAGTTTCATACAAACTTTCAACCCCTATTTTATCCCCATGGGGGTAAAATTAACCAAAATCCTTTCTTAGCGAATACCTACTTCATAACATCTACTTGCATGCCAAATTTCAGCCCGATCCGTCCAGTGGTTTGGGCTGTGCGTTGATAGATCACTATGTCAGTCACCTTTGAGTTATATATATTTAGATTTACCTATCAGAATTTATCATAGTTTCGATACAAACCGAACATATACAAACAAACATCCGAGCGAAACCGGGACCGGGTACTAGTAATAAAAAAACGTAAACTATTTCGTACATTGAAAAAAAAAAAGTTGAACATATTTCAACGTTTTTTTTTCGAAGCTGCATTGACATTATGCAAATAAAAAAAAATATCACCACATCGAAACTATTTTAACTAGGTGTTTATGGCATCTATTGTGATGAAATCTATGGTTACAGATAGGGATGTGCCTATCCGCCGTCGAATCAAGAGATCGGTCAAATCGATAGTGTTGTCTATGACTATTTTTTTTTTTTGTTAATGTTTCTTCTATTTTAACTAATGTATATTTAAACGCATTCAATTTAGTAAATATCAAATATCATAAACAATATGTAGGAATCCGTAACCATAACTAGTAGAGTCATCAATATAAAAATTTAAATAACGCCTATATAAAAATAACTCTAATAAATTGTAAGTAACTAATTTGTTTGCATTTCATTATATATTTTGAGATGCCTAGCTGTCCCGGCAATATTGCTATTAAAAAATAGGGGCTGGTAGAAGGGTGAAAATTGAAGGCTGTATGTTATTTTAATACCACATAATAATAAAAAAAAAAAAATTTTAACGAACAAAAAAAAAATTGGAATGAGCCACCCATAACACTTAGGGATATAAAAATTAGTTATTAACCTACTGAATATACATATAAAATCTATCAAGAAGTATAAACACGAAACCTGTGATTATATATATTAGAAGATATATAACGTACTGAACGGATTTTGATAAAGCTTTACTGTAATATAGCTTATACATCAGAAAATTGAGCGAAATATGTTACGCGGGTCAGCTAGTTAATTTACATGACAATATAACGTTTTGGGGTTAATATTAATAATAGTAATTTTATAAGTGTCGGGCCTCGAATATACCTAATATGAGAATCAACGAATTATTTCTAGAAAACTACAAAAGGTTTTGTTTTTTAATTGTTCATTTCTAGAAAAGTCGACAAGTTAAAACTACTTTTTGTTGTATAAGAACGAATTTATTTCTAGAAACGTCGAAAGGTTTTTTTTAATTGCTTTTCTCTAGAAAAGTTGAAAGATTAAAACTACTTTTTGTTGTACAAGGATGTATTTATTT